GATCATGTCTTCAAAACATCTAACATGTCATGTTTACATTGGATGCCCCTCCTGAAAACCACTAGTCCACTACAGCCTCGGCAGGTCCAAACAGTCTTGCCAGTGACAGTGCTCTGATGGTTTGGTGGACGGGATGTTACTGTGACTGAGCGATACAACAAAGATGGTGACAGCTAGTTTGAAATGGCGTTGACTTCATCTTTGGACTATTTAGATGTATTTGCATCTTCTTCGGCAGAGTATGGCAGACTGCCCCGTTGACTGTCATCTCTAACGGTGAATACGTCATGTTGTTCATTGTCCAATAACATGCGAAGGAAGTTTGAAAGGTAACTGTAGGCTCCACCCCACGATGGAGAGCCATCATTGGGTCGTGGCCAGACTATAAATATTCACACATAGGTTGGCTAACCAGGTTAGGAAACCTCTGCATTTCTCTGGGCTTGTGTATCCCAATCGTTAATTGTGCCCACATGTTCCCCATCTGGTCACCTGTCCCCTTCACATCCTCGTTTGAATCATCCTAATTTCAGGCACTTGTCAGATCTCACTGTTTTAGCTCCCTGTTAAAGGGGCTTTTCGGACTTTTGAATTTTTATGCTCGTGATTGCCCCCTCAGGCCAAAAGCGTAACGGCAGCTTCAATAGTAGGCTCGTGTACGAGGAGCGCATGCTGTACGTGCACACTCCTTAACGAAAATAACAGCTGAGACAGAGCACAGAGCTCTGAGAGCGTCCCGTGTGTGTGTGTGGCCCAGATGACACAAGAACACAGCAAATTAATAAAATAATGTGCTTTTTGGGCCATTCCCATCTGTACCGGGTAGCCCCGGTCGACCCCAGCCTGGCCCGGTTGATTCCACACATCCTTGCCTTAAGCCCATGTGGGCTGATTCTACCCACCAATCAGAGGCTTGCTCTAATGGAAGGTGTGAATTTGCTGTCAGCAGTGGGTGTGTTGGCCCTGGTCGGCCTGAAGCAGACCCCCTCGAGAAGAGGGCTGAGAATGAGCCTTGGTTGGCCCGGAAAAATACCAGGCCACCCAGATATGTAAACAACCTACGCTACCCGGCCCGGGCCGACCCGGTACAGATGGGAATGGCCCATTAGTCTCTGCAGCTGCACTTTCTTGTTGGCCGGACGAACGTGCTGTGTGTGTGTGTGTGTGTGTGTGTGTGTGTGTGTGTGTGTGTGTGTGTGTGTGTGTGTGTGTGTGTGTGTGTGTGTGTGCGTGCGTGCGTGCGTGCGTGCGTGCGTGCGTGCGTGCGTGCGTGTGTGTGTGTCCCGGAGAACAGAGGACAGGAGAACGTGCAGCTAATTAATTAAATAATTTGGTTCTGTACCTTTCTCTTCAGCACAGCTGACAAAGGTTTATGGTGGGTCAGTCCTCCTGCATGCTCAGATCATTCCCTTCCCTTGCTTGAAAAATTGTTCCAAAATTAAAGTTGAACCCACATCTTTTTTATCCGTGAATTCAATGCCGTTCGGCGAGTCTCAAATAAAAATTTGGGCGTCTTATTATTGTAAAAAAATATACCATTAATGTAAAAAAGAAACTCCAAATAAACTATGTTCACACCCAGAATTGAACCCAGGTCCTCAGCATGAGTCAGTCATCTTACTAGGTGAGCTAAAGCGCCAGTAACATTTGACCTATCTGTAACTTTTATATCCTTGATGACAGGTGAAACAACGTCAATTCAAAGAACGGTTCGGAGTGAAAATGGCTATTTTGTTGCTAATTTGCAGGAAATATCTAGAAGAAAGTTCTACAGAAAGTAGCTAAGGGTCCTCAGAAATGTAGCTAGGTTTGTCACTAGGCGTTAGGAACAGCGACAAAGTCGCTGAGTTGGCTCCATCTCTCTCTGCTGCTAAAGCTACTGATAGCAAATGCTACGGGCTATGCCTGAGCGTGAATGCGCATGAAGCAGCCTGCTCGACTCGAGCAGCTCTTTTTCTGTGATTTTACAGAAAAACAGGCAATCACATTAAAAATGCCAGGGCTCATTCTACAGGATCAGGGCATTGCAGGAGAATGTATGAAGAAGAAATTTATTATTTCTATACATGTTTTGGCTGTCAAACTTCCATAATGCCCCTTTAAACCAGTATAGTAGCCTGCTGGGAAAAGTCGCTATCTTCACATTTTTCCTGTACACTAAAACCCCCAAAGTTGTCTTTGTCAGCATTACTTCATCACCCCCCCCCCCCCCCCAACATTCCTGTCAGTTTCAGTCTTGCCCCAAAGTTCGTGAAAATCTATAAATTTGCCACATTGTTCAAAACAAAAAAAGTAGTGCCCTACATTTGGACTGGACCGAGCCCTGCACATAAATAGCTTGTCTAGTTTTGTGTTGACTGCAAAATCCAAATACTCAGTCTGATTTTCATCACTTGCAGGTTTTGTTGAGGCCACTAAAAGCCCTGTGCTCCTTCCAGCTGCTTCCGTGCTCAGATTCATCACAGCAAAGAGCACCTGCTCAGGAACGGCATGTACGACAAACCCATGCCCAAGAACAAACGCAAGATAAAGAGGATGGAGAAACTCATCACGGACCACAACATCTGCCCAAGATGAGGAATGAACGGACTAAAGAGAGGAGTTAGATTTGTTTGGGAGTCAGCTGACTTGGACTGAAACACCGGGTACACACGTGCAAACAACCAAACTTTTTAACTTTTCAAACGTTTGAATTATGTTGTTCTATTGAATATTTATTATGAATTCTAAACTATTTCAAAACTGGGAGTATTTTAGTATTTATTGAGCCAGACATCTCACTGCTGATGTGAAACTAGCTTATAAAGTTTCATGTTAGATAAAAAAAAGAGAAAACAGCCCTTCTACAGCCCACCTGCAGAAGGGCTGATTCAGTTCATGTTGATGAGCAGGCTTCAAAAAAAAAAAAAAAAAAAACCAACAGTAAAATTACCAAAGATTAAAACTTGTGTCAGAAATGTATTATTTCTATACATGTTTTGGCTGTCAAACTTCCATATAGTCCCTTTAAATATTTAACATTGAGGTATTTTAATTTCCCTGCCTACCACTGGAGCTTCACTGAACCAAGGGGGCACAGATCATGACATGATTACGATTTATACTAAAAGCATCCCTTCATTGTACTCACTGTAGTGACTTGGTTAAACAGGGATGATCTAAGCAGCAGTATGTTGTATGCTAATGTACAAGGTGCAAATAATTAATGTGCAGTTTGGTAGAAAACAGCTGACAAGATGTCAGGTGTTCCTGCACTTGGTTTAAATGGGTTAAAATCATTGTTTTAAGTTCTGTAAAGTCACAAATCCTGATAGTTTTTATTTCTCTCCTCTTACATCAAAAACACAATTCAGCTGAGCAAGTGTTGTGTAAGTAACTCCACAAAAGTGTGACTATGAACCGTGTTGAAGACTAAATAAAAGTGTGACTGAATGTTGTGTTTTTGCAGTGACACCTGTAACGTGATGAAGCCATCAAGCCGGGTCTACCTGCCTTGTGGAAGTCCTCTGTAAGATCAGGAATGCCGAGGTCCAGCAGACCCTCTCTGGAAACCGAGCTGGTAGAAGAAGCCGCGGTTCCGACCAGACCCGTCATGAGTTACCTCCGGCACACGACTCTTTTATTGGTGTCTGTTCAGACCCAGCCTGGGTCGGTGGAGCTTTTATTCTGAAAGGAGCTGTTGTTGCAGCTGGTGGGTATAGCGACTGGATTTCTCAGCTTGTCGTTGTTCTTTCGGTTAAAGAGTTTAGATCAGGATTGGCCACTCCGTCACTTTCTCTGGAACGCTTTGAACTGGCGTTAGAGCTGACGTGGCACAGTTTTATACCTCGGATGTTATTGTTTACTGTCTATTGAAAATTACCAAACACCGTCAGAAGCACGCCTCCGTCAGATCTGTAAAATTCTGATTGGATCAGTGAAAGTAATGTGTTATGTCTTTTTAAACACTACGTGAAATGAGTCCTGTTGGAATCCTTAACGTCACAGACTTAGTTTCTAAGATCATAATAACGTAATTAATATTTTAATTTCACAGGTCGGTCACATCTTATTATTGACTAACACTTTGATGGATTAGCTTTATTAAAATAGAGTTCTTTGATTAATTAAAAGAAAAGAGTGGCTAACTGAGATAGACTTTAATGTGTCATTGATGCCTTGATTGAGGATGTGGTTTGGGAGCTTGGGTTGGTTTGTTTGACTCAATTTCAGATTTTCTGCATTATAGGATACGAATCTTATAGGTGCAATTAGTAAAGACATCGTGTGGTCAAATGCAGGTACTGCCAACGTTTCCCCTATGTGGGCGTGGATCAGACCAGCCCCCGGGGGTTTCAAAATACGGTATGCACTTTTTGGCAGAAACATCCCGTTGACAGATGGAGATGCTCCTCCGTTATTTACTTCACACACATTTCACTGTAATATTGAGTATTTGGTAATTAAAATGGTAGTTTGAGATGTTTTTTTTTAACGATAACCATTTGCTTTTGATTAACCGTAAGCATTGTTAGCTCAATGTTAACATTAAACCAGTGAGTCATAGCTTCTCCTGGGTCTGGCCCAAATGATCTCACTGCTCTTTGAGCATGATCCAGGAGATGAACCAATGAAAAACTTCTGAGGACCTCTTACATCCATAGATGTTTGGGGCTAACAAAGTATTCCTGAAGTCCCGTTATTTGGACCTTCTTGTCCATTTGTGTCTTCATAACTCCAAACTAACTCGACAGCTGTGGCCACACATCTCCGTTACTCCACCTCCATTTGTTCTATGTCACTTCCTTTACACCATTCAGCCAGCTGGAGTGTGATGTGTGGCCAAACCAGATCATATTACTGGTTTGTGAATGTGTAACAACAGATGGTGGGTTAATGGGATGGGGGTGGGGGGATGTCTGGAAACCAAGAGGCACAATTCTAATAGTTAAAGAAAATAATGATATTCTATATAGAGATTTGGACATTTAAATCCAGGTGCATTCTAAAACATCACCTACCTCTTGCATGCGTCTTTTGGCCGCCTGCAGTGCATCCTCGTAGCCCTTCTGCCTCAGCTCACTCAGGCTCTCGTAGTACTCCTCCGTGTCGTCGCTCTCTGAGAAAAGCACCTGGGAGAGGATCTTCCAGCCACAGGTGTCCAGAGCATGACCCAGGTACACCTGCAGCTGGAAGCACAGGGCGTCCATGTCCCGCTGCGAGACCCCGGAGACGCCAAACAGCACCGTCCACACGCCGGACTGCTCCTCCGGGAACGAGGGTAAACACGGCTCCAAGTCCGAGTTGACAGCGCACAGCTGGTGGTGAACCGCTCGCAGGTCCTGGAAGGAGAACAGCCCGGCCCAGCTGAAGTCCTCCCGGCCGCTGGTCTCACAGTCCGCATCATCAGGAGAGGATGGGACATTCATGGAGTCCAGGATCTCAACGTCCATCCCTTTCGGTGTGACTACATCCCAGGACCCTAATGCGTGACTAACGCACTCAAAAGTATTCAAGTTTACGTCCTTCAAAGCCTTCCAGGCCCCAGTAGTGATTTTTGCTTTCGGGCTAGAGTTTGGTTTAACTGTACCCGCTTGGCAGGTCTCATCCTTCGCCGTGACCAGGTTGTCTCCCTGTGTCCCCGCAGCAGGGACAGGAAGCTCCGCAGCGGGGCTACAGTCCAGCTCCAGGAAAGTGCTCCGTTTCTGCACGGTTCTGTTGTGGCAGGTTATGGCGAACTTTCCCACCACGTCGTTCCAGGCCACGATGAAAACAAATTTATGCCTCTCTTTTTCGTCGAACACTTTGGGCCGAACTGACACCCATCCGGACTCGAAGTTATCCTCCATGGCGAATGACATCTCATGCAACCAATGGAACAAAAATAACAAAATATAAAAAGACACGTCGAGGATGGAGCGGATAAAGCTCTGACGTCGAGGAGAAACGCTGCTACTAGCTTAACACAGCTAATAGCAGCTAAAGCAACTGTCAGCTAAATTTACAGCAAAAACAAAGGCTTTACAGCTTCAGAAGGATGCCGCCAGCTGCCTACGAGCGACAGAGAGCCTAGCAAAGGTCTTAACCTTCCGCGCGCTCGGTTCTGTGATTGAAAACATCACGTTTAAACGATATAACCCGTCCCGAGACCGCGGTGTGGCAAAAAGAACAAAGTCGGCGTCATATAGCGACAGATAACCTCGGTTGCCATAACACCTGGCCGCTCACCTGGCCGAGACTCGAGAGCACACTGTGGCTCTTTGTCTTTTCTGACAATGCAGTCTCCGCTCTCGATGTCACGTGCGAGCTTCTGTTTACAAGCACAAAGTGCGTGTTTGTCAAATCCGGGGAGGGGTTTAACGGATGAGACGTTCAAGGACCACAAAAAACTCAGAAATCCTGAAACTCGTGTTATCAGGCCAATAGAGACAATTGTTTGTGTTTTTATTGAACATCTGCCTACATCTTATTTTTAACCACTTAAAACTAATATTATATTATATTATATTATATTATATTATATTATATTATATTGTTAAAATAAAATATGTGGCAAAGATAAAATGCCTTTATTGGCAATAAAGATTGACTGCAGCACATTTTACTGTGCAACACAACACTAAAAAACCAATGTAAGCGAAACATAACTGTAAGAAAAATCACCTAAATTGTGGAAAACATAATAGTAGGTAAAAATAATAAATTGTACATGTGGAGGTAGGTCAGTGTTCTTTTCCAAGGCACTATAAATATGAAGCGTAAACAAGGCTGAGGTTTTTATCTAGTGAGAATAATAGTGCAGTCACTATACATCAAATTGTACAGCAATGATTCTATATATTACATTAAACTGTAAGACAGTGCATGGAGGAATATACAGTGATTATGACTTTTGGAAAATTAACTGTTTTTGAGTCTATTTTTGTCCAGATACACTTCCAGCACTTTTCTCGGGGCAGTAGGTTCAACAGAGAGGGAATTGTCCTTGATGACTGTCCTGGCTTTGAGGCAGCGAGAGGCGTAGATGTCCATCAGGGAGACAGGATAGTTGGTAATCCTCTGTGCTGCAGTTCCCACTCTCTGAAGCATCCCCATATCTGCCATGGCGAGGCTGCTGTACCATAGTACCATACTATTGCACAGTACTACAGCAGGCTTTCAATGTATGAGCTGTGAGAGGTCATCAGTAGCTTGGGGCCCAGAGTTTGCTTCCTGAGGATCCTATTATATTATATTATATTATATTATATTATATTATATTATATTATATTATATTATATTATATTATATTATTTTGTTAATGAAAAAGTGCTTCTAAAAATGCAAATAAACCACAGACTAAGCAAATCCATAAAGTTGTTTACAAACATTTCTCCAAGTGTTCTGAGAATAGAACATGTTATATATGTATTACTGGTACAGTTAAAGACAGCATGCTTGTATCTTTCAGGTGATGATTTTTGCAGTCAGCTTGTACACTTTAAAATGAAATCTCTCAGTAACTGATAAAAGTTGCGATTGCATATTCCAGAATTCTGACACAAAACAATAATATGTTAAAATGTTATTATCTAGAAGGGACAGCTACAGAGCATTAAAAGACATTTTTATTATTAGTATTAATAATAATAATAATGATAATAATAATGCAGAGACTAATATAATTTTATTACAAACAATTTTTATGAAATGTGACAAATATATAAAAATTGTTGAGATATAAAACAGTAACTAAATAAAAATTAAAGTGAAAACGTTGAATTGTGTGCATCTAATTCCATTGAATTTGCTGCTAAAATTTAACAATTGTTTGAAGGTTCCACTTAATTAGTACGTATGTACATTTTATTTATATATTTTATTACTTTATTTTTCTTTAATGTGCCTTTAATTTTATTTAAGGACTTTTTGATATTTTTCGAACAATTGTCCTTTTATGCAATTGAAACCTTCACCAGCTGTTTTTTTTCCCAGTGTAACTTGAATGCATCATGCCGAACTTTTTAAACCGTTTTTTAAACCAAAAGACAGAAACTAAGCAGCTTTTTTAAATCGAACATTTTGATATGAAGTTTATCAAAATATCCGCTAATGAATTTCTCGACTAGTCTTTACGATTGGGTTTTTTCTCTACCACAAAGACGTGCACAAGGAGTATAAACATCTACACGTGGACAAAAGACATGACGCAAGTACGCACAGGGCTGGCAACTTTTGAACATTTCAAAAAGTGAGACAGGGTCATGGGTGTAACGTCCAGCAATGGTCAGTTTTTAGGTACAGTTTGACCATTCAACATCTGGTCAAAAAGGAGACAAAAGACTGCATGTGTCCCCTCTAAATCAGCCTGCCAACACAGATAACAAAATGCCAACAATAACATTCTCTCCTCAATGTCCAATCTTTCAGGACTCTTCATGCCTCCATATATGGAACACTCGCAGCCCGGATTTCCTAAATCAGATATGAACTTCTACAACTTAAAAGGTAGATAATCATTAAATAAACGTTTGTTTATTGCTACTTATAACAAATATAATACCGTATAATGAAATGTTTCATTAATCTGTGCTCAATGATTGAAGTTTGAAATGAATGCCATGTCATGATTACAGTGATATATATATATATACTGTATGTATTTAAATAAATAGTCCTTTTCCCCAGATCAGAGCGTCCGGTATCAAGGAAGGCGTGTTTCTGAGTTGTCTTAGTAATATTCCTCAAACTTGTCAACCTCTGGTTGGCTACACAAAATCATAACATGAGAACATTAAAACCAGATTACTCAGGTTTTTCCTCAGTTCTAGAGAAAGCTTCAGACCGGCCACCTGAAGCACACCTCTTTAACCCATCGAAGCTTTTGACACGTCATGAACCTTTTTGCACCTGCAAAGCTGATAAAGCAAACAGTTCCTGCAGAACAAGCTGATATTGTTTAGACTCCTTCAGAGTCCCAGACGCGAGATTCCATCTGTTTGTCGTGACCCGAGACATCTCTGGACTGGAGGAGTCGGTGCTGTGGTCAATCTACAGCCCTTCGGTGCGAGAGGTCATCCAATCTCTCTGACCTTCGGATCTACCAAGAGGGTCTCCGAAAATGGGTTAAGTAGACACACAGATAGCGTCTGATGTGCTTTTGATAATAATCAGCTTCATAGCTTAACGCAAACCAAATTCTTTTACATCCAGAACTCAGCTCTCCTAGATACGGAAGTTCTGATAACATCGCATTCACATCAGCATGAAGTTATTGAAGTTGTCAAAGCAAACATGGCTGGAATCAGTTTTAGCTGTAATTTGTGTCTAAGTGTGTGTGCTGCTGTAATGAGTCGATGTCCCCCATGGGACTAATGAAATTTACTCTATTCTATAATACTGTAATTCATGTCAGCCAGTGGGGAAAAAAATGTTAGAGGAATTTTGTTCTTTCCAGGCTTCCGTACCAGTAAACTGGTTATGGAGGAGGGGTTCGTCTCACAAACAGTAAAACACACTGGTGAAGCGGTCCTAATGTTTTAATTCACTACGTTACGAACTAATGTAGGAGAGGGAACATGTGAGTGCGTCACGACGGTAGAAAGCCCAGCTTGCTGTGAGCGAGGATCCGTGGCAAATGAGTGAAAACCAAACAAAAGAAAAACATTCGGGACTGAAGCTCCGTCAACATCGGCGCGCGCAGCCGCAGCTTCTGGGAGAAAGAACCGGGCATGCCCGTTCCGATGGTTCCGATACATCTACAGCAGGTGGAGCTCACCGCTCTGCCCATCTCACAACCAGAGTGGTAAAAAGCACATCGGCTTGGATTATACAGATAGGATTATGTGTGAAATAAACTAGTCAAATTATTACTGAAGTGTTGTTTGTGCACGTTGTTCAGTAACTAATGCTGTAATTAGTATAATCTGTTTGTTTTTTTTCATAAGCCCACTGTGCGTGTTGCGCGTTTGGGGAGTGCAGGCGCTTGTTTAGCGTGAGATGTTGGAGGTGTGGCGTGAGAGCGTGTGAAGAGGGATTCTGTTTCTACCTGTACAGTATGTACAGTACTTTTACTGTACCATGGACGTAATTTTCACTTTAGAAGTGGGGGGACGGGGTGTATCTTTACAGTATGTTCTAATGGGAAACAGGCTTCAACACAAACGGTTGTTTGCTTGGTCCTAGAGCTCAACCAGTGTCAATTTAACATAGCATAATATTGTTTTTGGATGGTAAAAAGTGCAGGGGTCAAAACTTGACTTTGGAAAAAGTGGGGGGACACCCCCCCCCCCCCACCCCCCAATTATGTCCATGACTGTACCACATGCTGTACCACATGTCTAGGACCCATCAAATGAATGAAAAACACACGGAACATTTTCCAATACCGCCACAGAAAGACTGGCTGATTTCAAACACAGCCTACCAGACCTGCTGCGGCAAGCCAACTGAGTTAAAACTATGATGATGTACAAAAATTACCCAAATAACTAATCAGTGTATTTTTTTAAGTTTGGGATTCGACTTTAATCTTATTTGCTTTTCATTTTCTGTTTGTCATGTTTTAACCGTATGAATTTTCGCACTTCAAAAGCAAAACATATTTTATTAAATAAAAAAACAATGTGCTTTAAATGCTTGTCTCTTTCCTTTGTGTGTATTTTATGAATAATTAACCTATATCGTCCTAATTATAAAAATATATACAGGTTTCAAAGAAACCCAGTTTATTACTTTATTAATTTGTGCAAATCTTTAATAATTTCTTAAATTCTGAATATTTCAGTACTTAAATTAGGTAGTAAAATTTAGCCCATTGATAAAATGCACTTGAGTTTTGGATGGCCTATGTGTGAAATGTGAAAGAAGTATATTGGTATGATGTGGGAACCCCAGAAATAGAAAAATTCTTAATTTCACATGGGTGAAATCAAACCCGCCGCTGGACATCCTGGGTTTAAAACCAACCCCGGTCAGAATATCTGAGCTTCACTAGTTTTTGGGCAGTGGCGGCGCCAGGGGGGTGCTAGGGGTTGCTATAGCTACCCCTGGATAAGTCATTGCACCCCCATAGCACCCCCAAGTAAATATTAGATTTTTTTTTTACAATTTAATTTTAATTTAATGTGTGGATGCTAAAACAGGAAATTGATGTTAACCTTTGACCTCATTTTCCACCTGTGAACGAGAGAAAGGTAGAGCTAGTGGTTTTTGTTGCCCACATTTCCACGGGTTCAGTCAGAAATTAATGAATCTTTGGAAGTGATCTCAGACCCACAAAAACCTACAGATCTGGATGAAGAGAGTCGACCCTCAACCGCTGCAGCAGTCGAGGGTTTTGCCACTGGAAATGCTAACACTAACCTTAGCTACCTTGCAACACTATAGATGTTTTTCTGTGTGGCTGTATGTGTTTATGATTTCATGGAAAAGTCAGCAATTGTTTACATGTTTATGATGTATATCAATGATTGTTTCAGGTGTTGTTGAGGTTTTGTGCACGCATGTGTATTTGCTAGTGTTGAAGGTGTTTTAGAGAACAATATGTACGCATGACCACTTCCTTCATTGCACCCTCAATAAAAAGACTAGCTCCTTCATAGCACCTGCAGAAAAACATTTCTGGAGCCGCCACTGTTTTTGGGAAAATGTCTAAACATGCTTCAGTTTTACTCCAAGCAGTTTGGAGACTTAAAAAACTGTATGCTAAGTCAAAACGTGGTTACATTATTCTGTCTTGGACAAAGCAGATAAATATAAGAGATTAGTTAAGTTTACAGCAACAATAACGGCACTAAAACTTTTCTGTTTGCCATCTAACCATTTCTGATCGTTTATTAGTTGTTACAGTTCTAAGATGTCATTTATTCATGACATCCATCCATTTTCTGGATGCTTCCAGACCTCATATCCAGGAGGGGCAGCACAGATTTCCTCCAGGTTGTGGAACAGAGTGGATCCCATCTTCACCCATGCAGAGTTTCTAAGGGGGACACGGGAATTTGGTTCTCCAGTCTCGCTGGAATCTTCTCCAAGAGATTTGTAGGGTTGTAAGGTCACTTGCCTGGTCTGGCACTAAGTCAAGCTCCCTCCCAGGGTGGGTTTGACTCTGTCTGGATTTGAGGTGTTCATGGACATGATCAGATCCCAAACCATAGTCAAGGAGAGGAGGATGTCTGGTTCCATCAAAGGATTTCTGATCACTGGTAAACGCTAGCAGCTCAGGCTAGTTTTAACAGTAGCCTAGCGTTGCTCTTGCGGTTAGCTACCGCTACTTGCATTTATATGTTGCTGGCGCTGAAGTGGGTTGGGACATGCAGAGGTAAGCAGGTGTGGCTTGTTTATCTTTTAAATACAAACATGATCATCGCTGCGCCGCCTCTGCCAAACTGCCTTCATTCAACAGCTAGCTAAAAAGCTTTTACTGCTCTAATACTTCTTAGCTTTGTCCTTTTTGAGAAAGAGCAACACTCACACATTTGTGTTTCTTTTAATTGAATGTTTTATTTAATCACTTAATGCAACATCTGGCACCTGTGGAGTGTTAAGGCGCAGTTTCAAACGTGAGCTTTGTAACTAGGATTCAAATAACGTGTACAATTAAGACAATATTGGACTTTCATCTCTGGTTGAGTAGGGAGGACCGTTTTGATGCCAACAGAGTTCCACACCGAGCACACAAGGTCCTAACAGAACGTCCCTTTGGTTTTTAACGTCACTCTTTGGTTTCATCTGCACTTCTGAGGCTTGCTTCAGTGGTCTTGAGTGGCTTCATCAACAAGAACCTTCAACTGCTCCTCAGAGGTGGCCTCCTTCTGTTGCATCAGGTAGGCGTGGCCTTTGGTGACACCCCAGCCATCAGGTGCAGACATGGATGGACAGAATGGACGTCCAGATGCAGGCTTCAGCTTCTCCCAGTAGTCACGACGGGCCCTGCAGAAACAAACAGAGTGAATTTTGTGAGTACATTTATGCTTTATGGTATTGCTGACCAATCCCCTTAACCTCCTGTGTAATTTACTTCCTGCTTTCCTGCTCGACGAAAACAAGAGTGACTCTAAATGATGACATCTGCCATCAAATATTGCAGCTAACATATGTACAAGTTTCCTGAAGTATCAGAAGGAAGTGGTGGAAAGCTGTTCTGCACCATTTAGTGATGGAGAATAGGCAACAGTTCCTTAGCAGGTTCGAGTCTCAGCTGTTATAGTCGTATCCTAGTGCAACACTTAGCCCTCCTTGCCTGTTGGTGGTGGTTGAAGGGACCGGTGGTATCTATGCTCAGCAGCCTCACCACGGGTGAATGACTGATTGTGTTGTAAAGTGCCTGGGGGGGGGGGGGGGGGTGTAGAGCACCGTATGGTGCTATATCAAATACAGGCCATTTAACATTTACCAAACAAATGACACAAGAAGGTGCTGAGAAATCTGAAGACTTTGGCCCCAATCACAACAACACAGTGTAACATTCAGGAAGAACTGGTGATGTGATCCAGACTGGTTCATCATACCGATTCGTCTGATATCTGTACACTTTCATTTCTTTTCTTATTTAAATCTGTCAAACTAACTATTGGTTACATTCGTGTGCAAATCTGTTTCTGTGGCTACATTAAAAACTGTTGATAATCTGGTGTCGCAGGCAGATTCAAGTCACAACCTCCTCCTTGTTACTGCTGAAAACTCTGATTTGGTTTGAATGGAAAATGATAAATCACATACCTAGCTCTGACCCACGGCTTGGTATGCATCAGCAAGCCTTCTCCCCAGCTGCCGTGTTTCTCAGAACCGGTAGGCAGGAAACCACGCTCCGACGCCAGCTCCTCAGACACAGCGCGAATGTGATAGGGTTCAAACCCACAACAGCCACCAATGTAGCGAATGCCAGCGTTGTATGCATCCCGCGCGTATTTATGCATGTCCCATCTGGTCAGGATCCTGGGCTCTAGACCTGTAAGAGAAAGAAAAACTAGTTATTTAGATTTCAGTGTCAACGATCAGACTGCTAAAAGAACCACTGAGTCTTGAGTCTGCACCGAAGGGGAACTCGGGCAGATCAATGAACCCCTGGCGGTTGCAGTCGGGGGTGTGGTACGCCAGTGGCTGGCACATGTAGTGGGCCTTCAGGCCGGCCTTCTCCACGCCCTCCTTCATCAGCTTCACAGTCTTCACGCAGGTCTCCGGGTCAAAGTGGCAGTTAATGCCAACAATCTGAGCCCCTGCAAAACAAATGAAGACGTCTGTGACACTTGTAAAGGCAGATTTCCAGGTAACCAGGACCAGGCCTGCTCGGTTTGACTGATTCAGTGTTTTCATATTACCACTAGATGGCAGCAAAACCCTGTTATGTGGAGGTTTGAGAAGAACAAAAGAGAAAATCTTGATCAGAAAAGAGGGGCCTAAAATTTGGAGAATCTGTTTTTTTTAACCCCATTGAGGCTGTTCTGGCTTTTAAATGTCTATACTTCTGAATGTTTAGGCTATTGTGGCCCATTTATCTCTTTAACCAACAATTTCTACTGGTATGAAAAAAAAAACATTTTATGTGAATTATAGACATAAAATGTGTGGATCAGAGCATTGCAGTGACAGAAACACCATCACAGATTTTATTTTATAAATTGCACAAATCTGACACACACAAGCTTTAAATCATGTTTCATTTCTTCATGTTTTGCTTCCAGTGACCAGAACGTTCTTGTAACATTTTAAACAGATCTTTAATAATAATAATAATAATGCATTGAACTTATATAGCGCTTTTCTAGACACCCAAAGACGCTTTCACACACTCTCACATTCACACACTGCTAGTGATGGTAAGCTACTTGTAGCCACAGCCGCCCTGGGGAGGTCTGACAGAGGCGAGGCTGCCATTTGGCGCCGTCGGCCCCTCTGACCACAACTAACACAGGCAAGTTGGGTGAAGTGTCTTGCCCAAGGACACAACAGAAGAATAGCCCTGGCGGGAGCTAGAATCGAACCCATGACCCTCTGATCATGAGGCAACCCGCTCTACCACCTAAGCTACTGCTGCCCCTTTAGCAATAGTTGTTTGGATTTTCTGAGTTTCTCAATATTTTCCTCTAGAATTTGAAAGCTTTGTGCACTTTCCTAATTTTTAAATGCAAACCGCTCAATCTGCTGTCATGGGCAGGTGGAAAGGCTGAGCAAAATAACACTAAAGACCTTCCGCGGAGCTGCAGGTCAAGAATTTCAACAGAAAGTCTGATTCAGCGGCAGCAATGTTTCGAAAGGTTTTCAGAATTAACAGGAGTTTTCTAGAGATAATAGGTTTACTATAAATAATTTCAAATTTAAATATTAAATAAAATCAATAATGTGTACTTAAGTACACAGCAGTATCCTTGCATGTGCATTTTTTTTTGCACTATAAACTCACTGGTGCCACTTTTGCGGACACAAGTCTTCATATTTGAATCCATCTCATGAGTTAAGACAAAACGGCGTCTCAAATGGGAGTGAACTGGTCTGTGAAGCAGTCTAACATGCATGCACATGTGTAACTCCTCATACATCCCAGCAACATTAACTGCCTCCTGGTTTTTCACTGTTTCTCTGCAGCTCGTCTCGTGGTTTTTACACCCAACATGAACTGGCTTCACCTGTACCTTTCCTGCCAGGTGAATAGAAAAGTTCACATGTTCTCACTTGAAGCATCTCTCCTGCGCCTGCAGTGTTTTTCAATGCACTATTCATTTAGACTTAGATCCGCAGTAGCTGGGGATGCTAATGCTAACTAATTCTATTCTTGTGGCTCCATGTTGAGGCATAAATGATTTTAGGGGGGAGTTTGTTTTCATTTTGGGCACAAATGGTTTGATTTGGATAAAAACCATAAGAAGAGTCCATGAGCTGAACAAGACAGTGCACAGTCTATCACATGAATGCAGTTGGAGAAAACGGTCCATGTTTTGCATTTTTAATCGACAAACTCAGCTTTATGACGATTAGGTTAAAGAAGCTGAAACTGGTGCTGTTTCATGCTACGTATTTGCACCAGTTCCTTCTCTAATAATGCTTTGCATGAGCTTTGTGAAGTTGCACCAGATAAACTAAATCAGTAGCAAGTGGATTTTATTTTGCTGGTGAGTTCATGCGCTTGAGCCATAAGGTCCCTTTAAGCTAGAAAGCAGCTTTCACACTCCTTCACCCTAACGGTGAGATAAACATTTTCATTTATGTTTATGTTTTAAAAGCTGAAGAGAGGTTTGAGATGCGTCCGTACCAGCCTTGACGAGTCTGACTGCACAGTCTCCAGGACCGACTCCGTTCAGGTCCCCTTCAGGTCCGATACACATGGTTGCAGCCACAGGCTTCCCGGTGCTCTTTAACACCTGGACTGCCCACTCGGCCTCTTCCACATGCTCAAAGTACTGCAAAAGCCAAAAAGGAAGCAAGGACTGATAAAGCCTGAATGGTCTAACAAACTAAATATGCTTTAGTTAATCTTTTAAAACCATCAATATTGAAATGTTAATTTGTGTTCAAATTTGTTACATTTTCAGTGGCCTCTGGTAGGAACAAACGACTTCTAAGTGGAAGAAAAGCTCCGGTGCGGCTGTTTAAGGATGTAGAATTCAGCAGGATGAGAACATTTTCTTCAGGCAACAGGATTTGGAGTCTTATTTCCTGGTAAGTGGATATCTCTCCTCTGGCTGACAGCAACACATCTGTACCACTGATTCAGTTTGCTCTGCAACATTGATGTTTTATCTCCACAAATAACACGTGCCTGGAGGAGTTCTGCCATGTGGTGGAGTTGCTAATGCTAATGGTTAGCTTCTACTAGTCAAGACCTTCTCTGCTGTTTCCTGGACCCTAAATCAACAACACGCTTCCTTGTTCGAATCAAAATGGCGTGTCCACCAACAGTGTGACGTAAATCTGCCGGGCATTTCTGAACCAAGTGTTTATCTGTCTATTTTCTATCCGAAGCTAATGCAAAAAATAGATTTAGAAAACCATTTTCATGTTCAGCCTGCATGTTAAACTCAGAGTGACCCATTCATAATCAGAGATAATAAGTAAAAAACGTTTTTTCAGTTAACCTGTTCTTAAATACTCATCTTCAGCACAATCTGCTAATGGTGAGTGTTAGATCACTGATGTTGTTTGCAGAATGTAAAATTTGCACACAGGCACCCTTGGTTGCATATAACTGAGCCCCTAAACCTTTTATTAACATATAAAAATATAAATCTAAAAAACACACACACATTAAACGAACAGTGAATTAAAGTTTGTTGACGTGCTTCACCTCTGCGATCAAGAAGTCCACATTTTTCTGGACATAAACGTCAATCTGCTTCTTGAAGATGGCCTTGACGTCATCCTCGCTCTTACAGCTGAGGTAGGAGGGAGTCTGGGACACGCCCCCTCCCACCAGAGCATCACCTTCATCAGCCACCTCCCTGGCCAGGTCGCAGGCCGCCTCGTTGATTTGCTGCCCCTGTAGTTTAAAGCAGAGGCTTCAGCTTTCAGCACGAGAGCGCAAAAGGCTGCAGTTGCGCAGCGCGCGTGAGTCTCCAGAGCAGCTGCAGGCTCTCTACTCACGGTGAAGCGCTGAGTGTGGCCCCTGTTCTCCAGTTTATCGTCGCTGGCGTAAAAGGTGAAGGTCTGCATGACGTTGGAGCCAGCTCTCAGGAACTCCCTGTGCAGCTGGCGCACTGAAAGGAGCGGACAGACGGATTCACGCTCGCGCATGTTCTGCTTATATAGGTAGAGAGATGGAGTACATACCCGCCTCTGGGTGTTCTGCAGCCGCTTCTGGAGTCCACGGTCCCGCTTTGACGTAACCTCTCTTCTCCAAGGCGAAGACAAAACCTCCGTCCCCGATCACCACCTCTCCAGCATCCAGGCGCTCCAGAATGCCCTGCGCGCGCAACAAGAAATGCAGAAAAGCGCATTTTGTTTTTTTGCAGTGTTTACCAAGAGGGTGCGCACATTTGAAAACTTTAGTGTTGGAAAAAAATAAAATAAATAAACATGCAGTTCTGAGCGTGCGTCCTCACTCTCTTAGCTGGTGCCATGATGATCTCCGCTCCTGTTGCTCCAAGTCTGGAAGGGGATCCGTGAAGGCTCCATGCTGCATTTATAATCCGAGATGGGAGCAGGGCCCCGGATGTCACTGGAAGAACCGCCTGCCTCTTTCCCTTTTTAGCTCCTGGCTTCCAGCCTCCTCTGCTGCACGCCTGGGCAACGCACCAGCAGAGAAACCGCAGAGCTTTTTTAGGCCCGAGCAGCGAAAGCGCTGCGAAGGCCTCTTGTTTTTGCTCTGTTTATTATTAGGCCCGAGCAGCGAAGCGCTGCGAAGGCCTATTGTATCTGCTCCGTTTATTAGGCCCGAGCAGCGAAGCGCTGCGAAGGCCTATTGTATCTGCTCCGTTTATTAGGCCCGAGCAGTGAAGCTGCGAAGGCCTATTGTATCTGCTCCGTTTATTATTATACGCTTTCTTTCTTTTTTCTTCCGCGTCTTTGACTGGCCTTTAGGGGGTCTTAGCATATCCAAAAAGTCACCAAATTCTGGCCCAATATAGAAAGTGCGTGAAATTTACGTATTTCACTGGCGATGTGAAAGTTCATAAAAAAATGGCTGAACAGCGCCCCCTAGAAAGTGAAAAATACCCCTCTCCATAAAGCTTAGTTTATCGTACAGTTATGAAATTTGGTACACTTGTAGAACTCAACAATATGCACAGAAAAGCCTCTTGCATCCGTGGTCAATATCAAACAGGAAGTCGGCCATTTTGGACTAAAGTGGCCATTTTGACCCTGTTTCGGCCATTTCTTGGGTCTATATTTGGTTGAACAGTTTGGTCATTTTTCGCACGATCGTCTCAAAAATAGTGTGCGATCGAACAGAAGCGACGGACGATTAAAATGAGACAATAAAATTGACTTTTCGTAAATACTGAAGGGGCGGGACCAGGCCTCAAAGTTCGAGCACTCGCCAAAAAAATTCAAATTGCTATAATTTCATAAATGAAAGAATTACAGATAAAGTAACTTTCTATGGACAATCATCATCGCCCCCCGAAGACAAATGAATGGTCGATTGATGATGTCACATAAGCCCCGCCCCTTCAGGACTTAAAAGGTCAAGTTTTACTAGGAAATTTTCCAAAATTCGCCCTTTCGAATAATCATCCTAAATTTGTATCAGGTAACTGAAGACAAGTTGGGGTTGCTTGGCGTCACTTTATGGGAGTTTTCTGGAGAAGGCGGGGCTGTGGCGGCGCGGCGAACCCAGGCGTACCGCTTAGGCCTTACGTTTGCCTCCCATTTCGTCATTTCTAGAGATATCGCCACGAAACTTCTTGTGAGTGATCCTAGTCCGGCCCCCAAAAAAATCTGATGTGAAATTCCGGTGGGCGTGGTCTATTTTCTGAAATAGCGCCCCCTAGGACCATTAAAACTGACAGCCCCAAGCCATGCTTTGACTGAGGATTACGAAATGTGGTACACTAATGTGGTGTCTCAGGACCTACAAAAAAGTCTCTTGGAGCCAAGTGCAAAGTCGCACAGGAAGTCGGCCATTTTGGTCCAAGTGCGCGATTTAGTGGTTTTCGCACACGTTGTTTGGAGAGTGATGCTCCATCGCCCTTTTCACCAATCGCCTTCACACTTCTGCTATATACTCTTAAGACATAGATGAAAAAATTCAACCGTCGGATTTTAAATAAGTATAGAGGTGTGGGCGTGGCTAAGCCTCAAACTCTGACCTGTCGCCACGCCACTCTTTTTTTCACAGCTCCCTATTGGACTCCTTTTATCCAATCACCACCAAACAGTGGCAAATAGCAGCAGACAAGTTAAGGTCACTTGGTCTATAGTACTGGCAGGTTTCGAATAAAGGCGGAGCTTTGGGAGCATGGCGAAATTCACCATCACGCCATGGAAATACGTTTGTCTCTCATTTCTTCAATCATTGTGACATTGCCACACAATTTCTGATGAGTGATCCTACTCTGACCCCTAATATAACTGGACAGCTGAAGTTTGTGGGCGTGGCCTATTTTCCGAAACAGTGCCCCCTAGGACCATTAAAACAGTCAGCCCCAAGCCATGCTTTGACTGAGGATCACAAAATTTGGCACACTAATGTAGTGTCTCAGGACCTACAAAAAAGTCTCTTGGAGCCAAGCGCAATGTCGCACAGGAGGTCGGCCATTTTGGTGCAATTACTCAATTTAGTGGTTTTCGCACACGTTATTAGGAGAATTATATCTCCTCGCCCTTTCCACCGATCACCTTCAAACTTCTGCTATATACTCTTAAGACATAGAGGAAAAAATTCAACCGTCGGATTTTAAATAAGTATAAAGGTATGGGCGTGGCTAAGCCTCAAACTTTGACCAGTCGCCATTACTTTATTTGACTTAACAACTCCCATGTGCATGATCAGATCAATTTCATACTTTGTCTGTGTGATCACTGACCACATCTGAAGACAGTGACAATGTGGACAGCTGACATCACCTAAGCCCCGCCCCCTGACTACAGGAAGTCTATTGTTTTATGGTGAACTTCCCATATTTGTCCCCTCTAATTTAGTCAAGATGACACTAAGGTCATGCACTGTCTTCATGATGTTGTAATGACCATTCAGATCTGATAGCTTTTCAGAAAGTGAGGGGCTTTGATGCCATGGCGATTTCTGGCGTGACGCTGTGACCTTACGTTTGACTGTAACTTCCACAAACAGCCTCCGATTTGCCCGAGACTGAACATCACATCACCAGTGTGGTAAAGATAGAGTATCTCCTAGGGGTGAGACATGTAATGGTGGGCTCAGAAGGGATGCTGAGTCAGGGTGAGGTGTGGACGAGGAGGCCTTTCACGGTTTCCGGTGTTGGGGTGGCTGACTTTCTGTTCCGCCAGGCATGCCCTGGTGCCCTCGGCTGCCGGCCAGGATGGAAAAGCGCGGAGCCGGGTTTGGAGAGCGTCGGGGATGGAGCGGAGGGGGTGCGGACAGAGGGCGAGCAGCTTCGCTGCGAGGGCCGAACGACGCTGCTTGCAGCTTTAATTTTTTATTATTCCGTGTCCGCTTTGAACGGCTTTTTGGAGACCTTAACATACCCCAAAACTCACAATATTTTGCACACTTGTCAGGCCTGGTGAAAAATTTGATATTTTAAAGGTCCCAAAAAAATCGCAAAGAAAATGGCTGAACAGCGCCCCCTAGAAAGTGAAAAAAACCCCTCTCCATAAAGCTTAGTTTATCGTACAGTTATGAAATTTGGTACACTTGTAGTACTCAACAGTCCGCACAGAAAAGTCTCTTGCAAGCATGGTCAATATCAAACAGGAAGTCGGCCATTTTGGGTTGAAATGGCGATTTTTTGCCGTTTTTGCCGTTTTTAGGGTCCGTTTCTGATTGGATTGCTCGATCATTTTTCGCACGATCAACTCAAAAATTGTGTAAAATTGCTCAGAAGGGATGGGCGAACAAAATGAGACAAGGATTCTGACTTTTCGTATATGTTGAAGGGGCGGGGCAAGGCCTCGAAGTTTGACTACTCGCCAAAAAAATTTAAATTGCTATAACTTCATAACTGAATGGAGTAGAGTTACCAAACTTTCTGTGGTCATTTGTCATCCACCCACAAAGTAAGTTGAATAGTCGGATGATGACATCACACAAGCCCCGCCCCCTCAGGACCAAAAAGGTCAAGTTTTACTGTGAAAGGTCCCAAATGGCCCCATTTCACTCAATCACCACAAATTTGTAGCTGGTAACTCAAGACAAGTGGGAGTTGCTTTGTGTCACTTCATGGGAGTTTTCGGCAGAGGGCGGGGCTGTGGCGGCGCGGCGAAGTCAGGCGTACTGCCGTGGCCTTACGTTTGCCTCCCATTTCGTCACTTCTAAAGATATTGCCACGAAACTTCTTGTGAGTGATCCTAGTCCTCCCCCACAAAATATCTGATGTAAACATCCGGTGGGCGTGGCCTATTTTCTGAAATAGCGCCCCCTAGGACCATTAAAACTGTCAGCCCCAAGCCATGCTTTGACTGAGGATTACGAAATTTGGTACACTAATGCGGTGTCTCAGGACCTACAAAAAAGTCTCTTGGAGCCAAGTGCAAAGTCGCACAGGAAGTCGGCCATTTTGGTCCAAGTACGCGATTTAGTGGTTTTCGCACACGTTGTTTGGAGAGTGATGCTCCGTCGCCCTTTTCACCAATCTCCTTCAAACTTCAGCTTTATACTCTTAAGACATAGGGGAAAAAATTCAACCGTCGGATTTTTCAAAAGTTGAAAGTTGTGGGCGTGGCTAAGCCTCAAACTTTGACCTTTTGCCATGCCACTCATTTTTTCACAGCTCCCTACTGGACTCCTTTTACCCAATCAGCAGGAATCTCTGGCAAACAGCAGTAGACAACTTGAGGTTACTTGGTCTCCAGTACTGGCAGGTTTCGAAAAAAGGCGGGGCTTTGGGAGCATGGCGAAAATCGCCATCACGCCATGGAAATACGTTTGCCTCTCATTTCTTCAGTTATCGAGATATCACCTCGACATTTGTTGTGAGTGATCCTAGTCTGACCTGCAATAGAAATGGAGAGCTAAAATTTGTGGGCGTGGCCTATTTTCGGAAATGGCGCCCCCTAGGACCATTAAAACTGTCAGCCCCAAGCCATGCTTTGACTGAGGATTACGAAATTTGGTACACTAATGTGGTGTCTCAGGACCTACAAAAAAGTCTCTTGGAGCCAAGTGCAAAGTCGCACAGGAAGTCGGCCATTTTGGTCCAAGTGCGCGATTTAGTGGTTTTCACACACGTTGTTTGGAGAGTGATGCTCCGTCGCCCTTTTCACCAATCGCTTTCAAACTTCTGCTATATACTCTTAAGACATAGAGGAAAAAATTCAACCGTCGGATTTTAAATAAGTTTAAAGGTGTGGGCGTGGCTAAGCCTCAAACTTTGACCTTTCGCCACGCCACTCTTTTTTTCACAGCTCCCTATTGGACTCCTTTTACCCAATCACCAGGAATCTCTGGTAAAAGGCAGCAGACAAGTTGAGGTCACTTGGTCTTCAGTACTGGAAGGTTTTGAAAAAAGGCGGGGCTTTGGGAGCATGGTGAAATTCGCCATCACGCCATGGAAATACGTTTGCCTCTCATTTCTTCATTTATCGTGATATCACCTCGAAATTTGTTGTGAGTGATCCTAGTCTGACCCCCAATAGAAATGGTCAGCTTAAGTTTGTGGGCGTGGCCTATTTTTTGAATTAGCGCCCCCTAGGACCATTAAAACTGTCAGCCCCAAGCCATGCTTTGACTGAGGATTACGAAATTTGGTACACTAATGTGGTGTCTCAGGACCTACAAAAAAGTCTCTTGGAGCCAAGTGCAAAGTCGCACAGGAAGTCGGCCATTTTGGTCCAAGTACTCGATTTAGTGGTTTTCGCACACGTTGTTTGGAGAGTGATGCTCCATCGCCCTTTTCACCAATCACCTTCAAATTTCTGCTATATACTCTTAAGACATAGAGGAAAAAATTCAACCGTCGGATTTTAAATAAGTATAAAGATGTGGGCGTGGCTAAGCCTCAAAGTTTGACCTTTCGCCATTACATTACTTGACTTAATAACTCCCATGTGCATGATCAGATCTATATCAACTTTGTCTGTGTGATCACTGACCACATCTCAAGACAATGACAATGTGGAAAGCTGACATCACCTAAGCCCCGCCCCTGAATACAGGAAGTCTATTGTTTTATGCTGAAATTCCCATATTTGTCACCTCTAATTTAGTCAACATGACACTAAGGTCATGCAATGTCTTCATGATGCTGTAATGACCATTCAGATCTGATAGCTTTTCAGATAGGGAGGGGCTTTGATGCCATGGCGAATTCTAGCGTGACGCCGTGACCGTACGTTTGACTGCAACTTCCACAAACAGCCTCCGATCTGTCCGAGACTGAACATGGCAATGAACAATCATGCCCTTTAGCCAACGAGGCACAAACGGTTGGTGAATGTTGTATGATATCACCACAGCGCCCCCTACATACCTTTAAAACAGTAATAACTCCTACAGACGAGGTCCTAACTGCACCAAACTTCCTATGTGTCATCACACAAAGGCACCCAACACAATCCTGTAGTAATTGGTTCATATCACTTTAGCTCCGCCCCTGACAGATATTAGGCCCCTAATAACACATGCATGATGCAATTCACATGATGCAATTCACACCAAACTGCACACAAATGACTGTTATAAACCTACAAACTTCTTCATGGAATATTTCCTAAATTTTGGACAGTGCACCCTAGATTCAAAAAACCTTTGTAACTTCTGCAAAAAAGCTCCAACCTATATCAAACTTGGTGAGAGCCATCACACAACTGCAATCAACACATTGTATGTGCTCACTTGTTCAATTCACTTTAACACCGCCCACTTACATCTTTTTGTCTCTAGATGACCCATGCAACGTTTGATTGATGCCAAATTAACAGAAAACCATCTTTGATGACCAAAGATGACCTCTATGGCATTTAGTTGTAAATGGTCACAGCCTCCCCTAGATGGGTTCAAACTTTATTAACTTCTAAAGACAAAGTCAGAATGGCATTATACTTGGCTTGTGACATCACGTGACTGCACCAAACACATTGATGTGGTTGTTGGTTCAAACCCCTGTAGCTCCGCCCCTTTCAGCTCACTGGCTTTAGATAACACACACAACGTCTGATTTATGACAAGAAAACAGAAAACCATCTATGTCAACCAAAGCTGACCTCAATGGGACTTTTCTGTAGTTGCTCACAGTGCCCCCTAGTGAACTTTAACCTTCGATAACTTTAACAAACGTGGTCAGAATAGCATAAAATTGGGTCACTGTCATCACACCACCAGTGAGGTAAAGATAGATGGTATGCCTTAGTGGTGAGACAATGGTGGGCTCAGAGGGTATGCTGAGTCAGGGTGAGGTGCGGACGTGGTGACCGTTAGCGGTTTCTGGTGTCGGGGTGGTCGACGGTTCTGTTCCACGGACGTGCCCTGGTGCCCCGGGCTGCCGGGCAGGCCGGAGCGGCGCGGAGCTGCGAGGGCCGAACGACGCTGCTTGCAGCTTTAATTTTTATTATTTTACTGTCTTCTAGAATAAAAAACTAAAACATTAACTGTTTCAGTTTCTGCTCCTAAAGGTCAAAGGTCATTTAGAGGACATGAGGAGCTCTGTCTCATAAATTTGATCTCTTCCTCTCTACAGCTGTTCCAGGCAGCTGTTATTCCTCATCCTCATGCCTCATTTGGTCAGTTTGTTGTTCCCATTCTTTATTCTTCTTTATTAATCTGCTGTGACAAATTATCCCTCAGAGGGAAGATGAAAGGAGGTTTTCATTTTGTTCTTTTACTCTGTAAACTGAAGGAATCAGATGAATGAGGAAATCAGAGTTCATGGGAGCTTTATAGTTAAAAATCCTAAAATGTCTACTTATGTAATCAAAATGTAAAAATTTGTATTTTCTGCACTTTTCACTTTTAAAGGACCCAGTGGTAGCACAATATGATAAAATATGACTTTTGACATTATTGAAATGTAAATTTTGGGTGGATATTATACTTTATAGAATAAAAACACATCTATGATGTTCACATTTAAATTTACAATATTAAATAAGAAAAAAGAATTAAACTTAGGATGGCTGCACAATAAACACTTCTGAAATCCGACTGAAATAGATGAGCAAAAACATTTTTATCTGCCAGTAAATAATACATTTATAAAAATCATTAGCATCTCAGCTACTAATACTTTAACTAATGTATCAGTGTTCATCATTTATTTAAGGTCTCACACAATCTTTATATCAGAAATGTTAGATTGGATATCACTTAGCCTGTTGTTGTTTTAGCACTCTAAATTATTTCTATGGAGAGATAGTTAAGTTTTCTGTTTAAAACTACCAATATGTAAACATAAATATTTAGATTCTATTCAAAATATTCACATTTGACTTTATAGAGTTAGTTATTTCTAAATATTTAGATGAACCTTTGTTTTTTTTAGATATGACGTTTTCAACTTTACATACAGTATTTACATTTATTTCCAAATACATTTGATCTAGCTTGCTGTATTTACATGTGATTTTTAAACCAATATATATTAAGAATAAAGCAAAACATTTGTTCTAACTTGGCATGATTAAATATTAATGTTTAAATATTATGACTTTTGATTTAATTCAAAACATTTTTGGTCTAACATGATAGATTCAGATGTGACCTTTTAAATTTTATTTATTTAGATTTGATTCTAAATATTTAGGTCTAACTAGATGTCACTTTTTAGACCTTATAGAATTTGATTTATTTCTCAATATAGGTCTAACTTGATGATACTTTTTCAACCTTGTAAAGTTTGATTGCATTTTAAATATTTAGGAATAACAAAATATTCGATATGACATTTAAAAACGTATATATTTAGAATTATTTAAAAAGACGATTTAGGTATAACGTAAAACGTTAAAACTTATGTATTCAGATTTATTTTTTAAATATTTAGATCTAACTTGATACATTTAAATGTAGCTTTTAAAAACTCATATTTAGATTTATCTCTAAAACTTTTAGTTTTTAGTACATTTAGATAATGCATTTAACATCATTATTTGAATTTGAAAATGTAAAATTACACCTGTTATTTTTGTTGGTATTACTTTACAATCAGCACCCCATAGCTCCTCCAACATTTTAATGAATAAAGCCTTGAGCAAATTAAACATTATTATATATTTTAAAAGGACTAATTTCCTCCTTGTAAATGTTTAAAACTTTGTTTTGATCATTTCTCTGCAGCTGCAGCTGTTGGCGCACAAACAGTTAACCCAGATTCATTTGGTTTTTGACATGTGGGCGTGCCAAAGCACGTGTCAGCGCAGAAGTGGGATATTGGTAACTAAACTCGACAGCACAGGGTCCAGTCAGAGGGGTGGTCATGCTTTGAGTTATTTTTCTGGTTTTCTGTCTTTTCCCCACCTTAATTATGTCTCGGATTTTAAACCTGCTCAGCATTCCGCTGAAGAGCGACTTCTCCACATGTCGAGGCTCCTCTCGGCTCCCTTTAAGGACCATCTGCTGCTCCTGCAGAAAACAAGCTCAGAAAAGGTGAGAAAATCGGTCTTCCCTTCAATAATCTGATTAAACCTCCCAGTAAAGGCGGATCATGCAATAAAAACAAGATTCTGCAGATAATAATGAGTCACATGCAATTTATAAATGCAACAAATTACTTTTATATAATTATTTTAAATTAATCTATGCTGATATTACCACAATGCATTTCATTCGCCTGCACCTTTCTTTATCTCTGCTTAGTGATGCATCCTCGGTGTTGGGAAAAAGATGGAAGGACTCTGCAGACACAGTCATCATTGGTGGGGGTTGCGTGGGGGTCAGCCTGGCCTATCACCTGGCCAAAGGTGGTGTGAAGGACGTGGTGCTGTTGGAGAAGTCTGAGCTGACAGCTGGGTCCACCTGGCATGCTGTAGGTCCAGTTATTGTTCATCAGTAAGCAGCATGCTGACTCTATCCTGCTTTCTGGTTTTTACACTTATTCTAGCAACATGAATCTGCAGCTGTGCTCGTCTTTTATATCAGTGGAATAGCTGATGAAATGTAAAAACTCTAACCTTAACCATCTGGCAGAGCTGAACATATTCCAAATACACTCACTGTTAATGTAGATAAAGTGAAATCAACAATTATTTTTAGCAAATTTAATTGTAATGTTGTTGTTTTGGTTTGTCAAACAACTTTTCCTGAGTTGTTTTTTTTTATTTTTCATCCAGAACCTTAAAATAGTTACATTTCTGATAATGTAGGTTTAAATTCTAAAATGTTCCATGCATGCTTATTGATTTATTGTTAAACTAGTGTCATATTTTACCTATTTTATTGAAATCACATTAAAAAGTTCATAAATCTTCTAACTGTGGAATTATTCTATGTTGTTAGAAATCTGTAGTGGTGAACTCTTCCTTGACAGAAGCTGTTGTTCCTTTTCACGTCATCCTGCATTTGCACCGAGTTAATCAAAGCAGCTGCTGGTGACTCTAATGTCCCTTGGTGTGAGTGAGGGACTTTTGTCTCTGTGTGTCCCTCTGATGGACTGGAGACTTGACCAGTGTGCCCCTCGCTTCTTGCTCTATTACTGCTAGAGATTGACACCAGCTTGCTGTGGTCCTACTAACAAAAATTAAGATAATGATGGAGTGAGCTTAATTTTAACACATTTGCAGTGGTCTAGTCTGAATGAATGTCTTTTGAGTAGATCACTGTTGGAAATAAGCTCTGGCGCTCCAGTTCCAGGAATTAGAAGTAAGCCAAATGGCAGGATTTGAAGTTGTATTTCTTAATATTTGGACATCTCACCTCTGATTGGCTAACAGCAACACCATTTTACCACTGACGCTGTTTACTTTGCAACATTGATGTTTTATTTTCACAAGTAACACAAGCTTGAAGGGGTTCTGCTATGTGGTGGAGTTGTTAATGCTAAAAGTTAGCTTCTACTAGCCATTTTCTGTTGTTTCCTGGGAGTGGGGGGTGGTTGTTTTTGTTTTTTAAGAATATTAATTAATTATTATTATTACTTTCCATCCATTAATCCATCCCTTTTCTTCGGCTTATCCGGGGTCGGGTCGCGGGGGCAGTAGAATAAGTTGAGAGGTCCAGACTTCCCTCTCCCCAGCCACTTGGGCCAGCTCCTCTGGGAGAATCCCAAGGTGTTCCCTGGCCAGGTGAGAGACATAGTCCCTCCAACGTGTCCTGGGTCTACCTTTAGGTCTCCTTCCAGTTGGACGTGCCTGGAAAACCTCACCAGGGAGGCGTCCAGGAGGCATCCTGACCAGATGCACAAGCCACCTCAACCGACTTCTCTCGATGTGGAGGAGCAGTGGGTCTACTCCGAGCCCCTCCCGGATGACCAAACTTCTCACCCTATCTCTAAGGGAGAGCCCAGCCACCCTGTGGAGAAAACTCATTTTGGCCGCTTGTATCCGCAAACTCGTTCTTTCGGTCACTAAGCTCGTGACCATAGGTGAGGGTAGGAGCGTAGATCGACCGGTAAATCGAGAGCTTTGGCTTCTGACTCAGCTCTCTCTTCACCACGACAGACCGGTACAACGCCCGCATCACTGCAGATGCAGCACCAATCCGCCTATCGATCTCACGCTCCAGTTTTCCCTCACTCGTGAACAAGACCCCGAGATACTTAAACTCCTCCACTTGGGGCAGGACCTCATCCCTGACCCGGAGAAGGCATTCTACCCTTTTCCGAATCAAGACCATGGTCTCAGATTTAGAGGAGCTGATTCTCATCCCAGCTGCTTCACACTCTGCTGCGAAGCGCTCCAGCGAAAGCTGGAGATCACGTTCTGATGAAGCCAACAGGACACTTCATCTGCAAAAAGCAGAGACCTGATCCTCAGGCCACCAAAATGAATCTCCTCAACATCTTGGCTGTGACTAGAAATCCTGTCCGTAAAGGTCATGAACAGAATCGGTGATGAAGGGCAGCCTTGGCGGAGTCCAACTCTCACTGGGAACGAGCTCGACTTAAGCCTGATTTATACTTCTCCGCAAGCTTGTGATTGGTCAGGACGCTGCTTCCTGTATATTGGTCACCAGCACCTCTGTAGCTCCGTTAAAAAGTAAAGAGATATTTAGCGGCAGACCCCGAACAGGCTGTAGAACACATCGCGGAAAAAGTCTGAAAATATTAACATTTATTCACCCGCGAGTGAAGGAGTACGAAATACGGAGCAAACGTGGACGGAAACGACGTGAAATGGGGGTTTAGAGGTGGCAACCGCATGAAGGGGTGGAGGAGAATGAAGGACAAATTTGGCTATAAGTAAATACACTATCGTGGACCAGATAAATGAGTGTTATGGTGGCAGGATACCACAGAAAAAAACGCTACGCCCTCTGTTGTCCTGGTGGGAAATTGCTTTGCAACACTCGCTGCCTGAACAGAAGTTTGAATGTGAAAACCTTTCCGACACTCCGTGTGCGTCTCTGTTGCAGAGCTCAGGGAGAAGTATAAATCAGGCTTTACTGTCGTCAATGCAGACCAAGCTCTGACACCAGTCATACAGGGACCTAACAGCCCATATCAGAGGGCCTGGTACCCCATACTCCAGAAGTGCCCCCCACATGGCCCCCCGAGGGACGCGGTCAAACGCTTTCTCCAAATCCACAAAACACCGGTATTGGCTGGGTGAACCTCCAGGATCCCCCTAAGGGTATAGAGCTGGTCCAGTGTTCCACGGCTAGGACGGAAACCACATTGTTCTTCCTGAATCCGAAGTTCGACAATCCGCTGGACCGTTCTCTCCAGAACCCCCGAATAGACCTTACCAGGGAGGCTCAGGAGTGTGATCCCTCTGTAATTGGAACACACCCTGCGGTCCCCCTTTTTAAATAAGGGGACCACCACCCCAGTCTGCCAGTCCAGTGAAACTGCCCCCAATGTCCACGTGATACTGCAGAGCCGCATCAGCCAACACAGCTCTACAACATCCTGAGCCTTAAGGAACTTAAAGAGCAAGTCACCCCCAAATCAACTTTTTTTTGCTGATAAACTAAATAAACGAGTGTCTAATCGTGCTGCAGACACGTGTCGTCAATAATTTGGCACTTCAGTGCATCTTAGTTAAAATTTAAATATTCTGCCTCAAACTGGCAGTGTTGTGCCGTTGTCAGGTAAAAACTCAGCACTGCATTTGAATTTAAATCTGCCACCGCTATTGGCTAAGAGGTATGCTATGATGTAAACTGGTACATTATGATGTCACAATGCTGTCGTGAGTCTGTGTGTGTGTGTATTTGTTAGCGGCTCCGCCCTGTTGGTCTGCCAGGCAATGGCATTTGTTGCATTTTTCAAACATGAACTGGGAGTGGAGTTAGACTCTGGTAGGGGGTGACTTGCTCTTTAAGTAAGGAAATATCATGATTTAGAAATACACTACCCATTCAGAAAAAAAATGCCACCTAGATTTAACTAAGTAAACGGGTACAAGCCACATTTTGGATAATTACTGCAGGCAGTTTATCTTTCAGCTGCAACAACTTATTTAACCCCAACTGGTGCAATGAGTTACTTCTCATTTCTTAAACAACCATGTGGAAACACACATCTGTTGGTCATGGTAAAGATGTTAGTCTGTGTGAGAAGGGTCAGATAATTATTAATTGGCATGCATCAAGCGGAGAAAACATCTAAGGAGATGCAGAAACGACTAAAATTGGGTTAAGAACTGTCCGACGATTTATTAAAAACTGGAAGGATTGTGGGGACCCATTTTTTTTGGAGGAAATGTGGTCGTAAAAGATTCTGAATGATTGTGATCGATGATCACTTAAACTTTTGGGGAAATCAGATCGAAGAAAGACACCAGTAGAACTCGGGGCTATGTTTATTAATGAAAGTAAGAGCATTTCCACCAACCACAATGTAAAGGGAACTCAAGGGATTGGGACTGAGCAGCTGTGTGACCATAAGAAAACCACTAATCAGTGAGGCAAACTGAAAAAAAAAAGGTTCAACTTGCTATAGAGCATTAGGATTGGACTTTGGAGCAATCGAAGAAGGTCATGTGGTCTGATGAGTTCAGATTGACCCTGTTCCAGAGTGATGGTGCATCAGGGTAAGAGGCAGATGAAGTGAAGCACCCATCATGTCTAGTGTCTACTGTACCAGCCTATGGGAGCAGTGCTATGATCTGGGCTTGCTGCAGTTGGTCAGGTCTAGGTTCAGCAACAGGATGTGCTCCAAGAATGAGGTCAGCTGACTACCTGAATATACTGAGTGACCAGAATATTCCATCTTCCCTGATGGCACGGGCACATTCCAAGATGACAGTGCCAGGATTCACCGGGCACCACAAAGTCCAGACCTTAACCCTATTGAGAATCTTTAGGATGTGCTGGAGAAGGCTTTGTGCAGTGGTCAGACTCTACCATCATCAATGCAAGATCCTGGTGACTTGTAACATTACAGAAGCTTGTAGAAACAATGCCACAGCGAATGTGTGATGTGATCAAAGGTAAAGTCCAACGAAATGGGTGTGTGACCTTTTTTTGGGTGGCAACTTTTTTTGGCTGGGCAGTCTTTCATTAATTGTTCATGTTCACAGCTGCCTTCTGCCACTTTTTTGTTTAAGAGGACCCTCGTGAAAACGACACGGTGCATTTCATGGGGTTTTCCTCTTTAAATAAATGTACTATAACATTAACCAGACATAGGAAAATTAAGTATTAGCAGAACTTCACTGCTAAGTTGCTTCCATCCATTTTTGTAGAAGTTGAGTGTCAGCGTGGCTACAGAGTTTCTGTTAAATGATAAATGACCCACACTTGTATAGCGCCTCTCAGAGTAAGGACTCCAAAGCGCTTTACACTACAGTGTATCATTCATCTGTTCACACACACATTCACACACTGATGGTGATGAGCTACGATGTAGCCACAGCTGCCCTGGGGCGCACTGACAGAGGTGGTTAATGAAGTCTAAAGTGGTTCCATACTGAATTTTTTATTTTAAAGGCGGGCCTGACAACCTACTACCATCCAGGCATCAACCTCAAGAGAGTTCACTATGACAGCATTAAACTGTACGAGAGCCTCGAGGCTGAAACTGGACAGGTGAGATACCTCTCATCGCTTCAGTTTTAAAAACGGTGTTTTATTGTCATTAAAAGTCTTATACCATCTTTCTGTGCAGGCAGTGGGCTTTCACCAGCCTGGCAGCGTCCGCATCGCTTCAACAGCAGCTCGTGTGGATGAGATGAGGTACCAGATGACTCGCACCCACTGGCACGTAACTCCGCAGTACTTCATCGGACCGGAAAAGATCCAGGAACTTTTCCCTCTGCTAAACATGGACAAGGTTTGTATGAAACAACGTGTTCTGTGCACTAACTGTTGACTTATCTGAGATCAGATGTCAGTGATGGATTTATAATGTGAGAAATGGTCGAACACCAGGCTGCTGACTTGTTTTTAAGTGTGGACATGAGTCTGTTCTGGTTCTAACGATGTTTCAATCAATCAATCAATCAATCAATCAATCAATCAATCAATCAATCAACCAACCAATCGATCAATCAATCAATCAATCAATCAATCAATAAATCATCAATCAATCAATGATAAATGATAAATGACCCACACTTGTATAGCACCTCTCAGAGTAAGGACTCCAAAGCGCTTTACACTACAGTGCATCATTCATCCATTCACACACACATTCACACACTGATGGTGATGAGCTACGATGTAGCCACAGCTGCCCTGGGGCGCACTGACAGAGGCGAGGCTGCCGAGCACAGGCGCCACCAGTCTCTCCGACCACCACCAGCAGGCAAAGTGGGTTAAGTGTCTTGCCCAAGGACACAACAGCAGAATTCTCTGTCCGGAGCCGGGATCGAACCTGCAACCTTCCGATTACTGGACAACCCGCTCAACCTGTAAAGCAAACTTTATTTATATAGCACTTAATCATGCAATACATGCAACTCAAAGAGCTTAACAAGTTAAAAAGGCCCGCATACCCACATTCCCTCCCATCCACAGAATTTTAAAAACGGTCTGACAATAAAAACCCCTTCACAACACTCATCCTCCGGCACACACGCACACACACACACACACACACACACACACACACACACACACACACACACACACACACACACACACACACACACACACACACACACACACACACACATGCTCCCCCATCAGGGGAGCCACCCGCCCCGACAGCAGCAGATCCACAGCAGCAGCCGAGGCACCGACACAGGGCTCCCAGGACAGGGAGGGCAGAGACCCCCACCTCCACTCAGGCACACCTGGAAAGCCAACCACCGCCCTCGGGGCAGAGGGCTCCCACAGAGGAAGCACTGGAAAAAGGTTAAATTAAGTTTAAAATATAAAATCACAAGAGCTCAAATGAGAATTGTAATATAAAAAGTTATATAGATATTAAAATAATGTTGATCATAAATCTATGGTAAAAAAAAAACCTGTTTAAAAATAGCATGTATAAAGAAAAAATACATAAAATAAATAAATAAATAATCTAATTAATTTGACACAACATGAAATCCAGCACCGGGTTTGTTTTTCTTAATTTAGTTTTTATGATTTAGTAGTTCACTTTTAACACCTCGCACCATCTAGTAGCTTTTTTGGTTTTATTCGTGTCATTTCAAATGGTTTTTGTCATTTGTCGCATTATTTTTATTTTTGATAGTGTTCTCTTTTTCTATTGTTTTTAGTAGGAATTTTTATCCTTGATTATTTATGCTATGTTTTTTATGTATTTTACCTGCTTTCATTGTGTTTTGTTGATTTGTTCAAGCATTTGGCTCTTTTATGTACAGCACTTTGTTTAGCTGCCATGCTAATTTGAAATGGTGCTTTATAAATAAATTGGTATGATATGGTCCTGTTTGGTGAATATTAAAAAGAAATGATGTCATGATTATCTTCAAAACTAAAGATTTTCTGAATTTGCAGCATTCCAGCCTCATAGCTGGTGATGAGTGTGTAGCGGGGTCTACAAGTGTTGAGGGCCACTGTGTGTTTTTAGGTGCTGGCAGGTCTCTACACCCCCGGAGACGGCCACATCGACCCGTATTCTCTGACTATGGCTCTGGCTGCTGGAGCTCGGATGTACGGCGCTCAGATCTACAACCCAGCGCCGGTTACTGCCCTTAACCCAACGCCCGATGGTAAATGGGATGTCCAGACCCCCCACGGAACAATCTGTGCAAATCGGATAGTCAACACTGCAGGTTTGTTGTTTCAGAACTAACTAATCACATGTCCACAGATAAGTAACACAAGTGAGGGTTGATAATATCAAACCACAAAGACGGGATTAAGGGCGACATGCTGCAATCACTAAAACTCATGGAGTTGCAAAACAAAGCAAGATGGGTGAATGGCCTGTGTTTTTATAGCACCTTCTTAGGGTTCTACAATCCCCCAAGGCGCTTCACAACACAGTCAGTCATTCACCCATTCACACGCTGATGGGGATGAGCTACGATGTAGCCACAGCTGCCCTGGGGCGCACTGACAGAGGCGAGGCCTGCCGAACACTGGCACCACTGGTCCCTCTGACGACTGCTGGACAGCCTGCTCTACCTCCTGAGCTACTGATGTCCCTGAAGGTCATGTGGTCTGATGAGTCCAGATGGACCCTGTTCCAGAGTGATGGGTGTCACTTTTACTAATAAAGAGAGAACATTCTTACTGCAAGGAAAAATATGAATGTTCAAAGACATATTTACCAAATGTTCTCAGCATCCAAACGGGTTTTCAGTTGTTTGTTGGAGCTGGGTGAACTACAAGTACTTTTTACATTTATGCTACAGTGCAGATTATAGAGGATCTTATCTTGTCGGCAGACCTTTGCACACACAAGACCTCTGCGTGCAGCCTTCAGCCCACAGATCTTTCGGTTTGAGCCGGGTTATTCCAGTTCTGGGGGTATTTTGTTTGCCAAGACTCCTTTAGTCCCTCCTACTGTAGCTTGTTTTTCTGGCACCACTTTAGGAATTTGCCTCAGCCCGTCTCCAGGCTTTCCTTCTCGCTGGAGGTTGCTGTGTAACATGTCACTATGTAGGTCATATTTTTGATTAGTTGTTTCTGTTCTGCAACCGCTGTTACTTATAGCAAATAAAGTCTCAGCTGCATGAAAACAAGCAAGCTTTAAATCTTTTAGCTTTTGCAGCAGAACAGTTGTTCAACTCTTTGCACATTCTTTCACTCCATGTAAATGCTCTTTCGTGACTCTGGTTTTAGCCAGTTACAATGTTTTCTGAGCCCAAACTGCTTTTTTTGTCTTCTTCAAGTCTGACAGCCAATCCGAACTAGCCAGCAGATCAGATTTCATCCAATCTTGAAGCTCCAGCAGATGCACTCCTCCTAAGAGTTTATTAGATTTTCCTTGCTGCTGAAGTTTACTGAACAGAAGTATTCTTTCCTATGTGGGACATTAGAAAACACATGCAACTGATTTACAAGGCAGCTTAAAATTTCCTTTCTGAACACCCACTGGCGTTTTGACTTTTTATGTGCGTTCTGGTTTCGATATAGGTGAGAATGGAGGAGTAGCTGTTCTCTTGAGCTTGCCTGACACAACTTTTTTCATAGATCTAGTCTTTTCTGCTCCCTATTTGTAGTCCGAGGCCCAATCAGCCCTCTGCTCCATATTCACCTCACATTTCCTTAAATTGTAGTTAGGTTTCCTGTGTACGATCCTCCGTAAGGCATCAGTGTACTCACAGGATGGTTGGCCATTATGACCCATCTGCTTTTTCTATCGTATCTTGTCCCAAATTTTCTGAGGCACTTATTCCTCAGTGGGGTCGTGGGGAGCTGATGCTTTTCTCCAGCAGCCATTGGGCGATAGGTGGGGGACACCCAGACAGCTCTCATATCCATCGTAATTCTTCCATCCTAGCATTTTTGTGCACAGACTTTAGGTCTGGAACGTCTGATTGAATGTATCGCAATATATCATGGTAAATTAAATAGTCTCCCTTTTATCGTATCGCCTTAATTTCACCAACACACATCCCTACTAGGGGGTGCTAAAAGCAAGCCACAGCTGCCTAATATCCCTTCAAACACAAGTCAGACAAATATAAATATAAATATAAACAAATAAAAACATCAGAACAGTGTAACGGAATGAAATGACTGTTTCCCACCTAAAAGTCATTTCCCCCCTCAGCAAGAACTAATCTGAATGAGATTGCTCTAGGTCATGCATTTGCTCCTAAACTGTTTTCATTTCCAGCCCAAGAGAAGAATGAAGACAAAGGATTCTTTCTTTTTAATAAATCAAAGAACTCTATTTTTAATAAAGCTAATCAAACAAAGTGTTAGTCCAATAATAATGTTGACCAATCTGTGAAATGACAATGTTATGATTAATAAGTTTTAATAAGTAATATGACTTTAATCTAGCTGCACTAGACATCCTGATCCACGTAATGTAACCGCATGACACATTGCTTTTACTCATCCAATCGGAACCTTCCTTTCTGAAGCGTGGCATAGTCTCTGTGGTGTTCATAAATCTGCCAACTTTGATTCGACCGTAAATCAAAACATCCAGATTAATAAAACCAGTCCCCACTCCATCTTAAGACAGTTCTCCGTATTCTGAGAGAAGTATCGGACTTCCTTTTTAAGCAAAGAACCAATAAGCTGGATAAAATCTGTTGCATTTTACCAACCAAGCAACGGTTCCTTTCAGAATAAAAGCTGAACCCACTGACCCTCCGGGTCCATCTGACGCTGTCAACCAACTGTCGCTTTTACCTGGAGATAATCCAAAGACTAGTCTGTCGTTCTGCTGATGCTGTTTCATCGGCTCCGGTACCAAAGAGGGGTCTGAGGACCTGGCATTCTGGATCTGTATGGAGGTCTCATTCTAAGGGTATGTGTGGAGCGACAAAATGGCGTCTTGTGTGTTTATAAAACTCCGATCATAGCTTGAGAGCAAAACATTGCTTCTCTTGGGGTGACGGTGGCACAGGAGTTAAGTGCTCGCCCCGTAATCAGAAGGTTGCAGGTTCGAGCCCCGCTCAGTCTGTCGCTGTGTCCTTGGGCAAGACACTTAACCCACGTTGCCTGCTGGTGGTGGTCGGAGGGACCGGTGGCGCCAGTGCTCGGCAGCCTCGCCTCTGTCAGTGCGCCCCAGGGCAGCTGTGGCTATATCGTAGCTCATCCCCACCAGTATGTGAATGGGTGAATGACTGATTGTGTTGTAAAGCGCCTTGATGGGTTCCAGGACTCTAGAAGGTGCTATATCAAATACAGGCTATTTACTATTGACCATCTCCGGATACGAGAGTTCTGATGACATCACTCACACATACACCATTCATCTCACGTCTCATTCACACCATTCCATCCATTCACTTAGAGTTTAGAGTTAGTCTTGTTTAAAATTGTTTAGAAATAAATCTTCTTAAACGTTTTAAAGGTGACTCTCTCTTCTGTTGTCTCTCAGTTAATACGGTGTTACATAATCCCTAGAATGAAAAGTTCCAGTCTTCTGGTTAAAAGTACCAAAGATCCATAGGATTGATTTCATATTTACTATGGAATCTCATGTCTTATGGTTCATTAAATAAATGTAAATGAAACCCTTTACAACAGGGTACCTTAAAAGTGGATCTTTCATTGACTTTATGTAAAAATATTACGTGAAAATTTTATATTTATTTAAATTACATAAAGTTTACTACAAGCAGGTCAGGAGTTTTTGCTTTTCACACACACCAGACACACACACACACACGCACATTTAGAACCTTTTGACCTATTGAACAGATCGGTCTGGAAACTGAAGGCTTGAAATAAAACAGTAATCACAAAACAAACAAGAAATTCTGCAGGGTTTGTTTTAAAAGTTGTTCTGAGAAGCTATTGATTATTCCTGATTAATTCAACGTATCACATGTCTGGAACACAGATGCATACAACGGTCTGTGTGTGAAATCAGGGAGTTGTGGATATGAGGTCTCCAGTTGGTCCTGGTCTCACACTCCAGATCAGCAGCTGGATCCGTGTTAAAATCACATGTTCTACTAACAGCACCAGAACACAGCATGTTGGTTTTACTGTGGTTAATTTTTAAACCAAGTTACACTTTATTCCAGCTGGAAATGTTTATCTGCAGTGTTCCAGATCCTGTTTATAGAATTTTTTTATTTCCAGAATGTGCTGCTTTTTTATGTGAAAAACTTAAAATTGTTTATTATAATTTAACTTTAATGATGTTATTTATTCAACAATCGTGGCTCTTCGTTCTGCTAGCAGTTTTTCTGTTTGCTGGTTTTTTAGATGTTCAGGATACGTCTTCCCACTAAATAATAATTTACTTAATTCTTCATTTTTACCTTTATGGATTAACCTATTACCGCAGTGTAATTTGTTTGTTTGGTATTTATGAAGTGGAAGCAGTATGGCCATCACAAGGAGTTTGTTATTGTACGAACTTCTTGATTCATTCCAGTTAGAACCTTAAAAATTAATTTAAAATGCTTGAATGTGACAGAAAAAAATGAAGGGATTTCCAGTAGCTGACTTAAATTTAGATTTTTAAGATCAACATACCTCTTCTGTTTTCTAAGGTTTCTGGGCGCGTGAGGTGGGCAAGATGATTGGGTTGGAGCACCCCACCATTCCTGTGCATCATCAGTATGTAGTGACAGCCACCGTACCAGAGGTGAAGGCTCTGAAGAAGGAGCTGGCTGTCATAAGGGACCTGGAGGGCTCTTACTACCTCCGTCAGGAGAGAGACGGTCTGCTCTTCGGCCCATATGAAAAGATGGAGAAGATGGTGTTGCAGGACTCCTGGGTTAGGAATGGAGTACCTCCTGGTCTGTGTGCCGTGTATACCTTTATTTTCATTCCTGTGAAACTTTGCAGTTCTTGTAGGATGAAAGATTTCCATGTTTTCTTCCATCTACTTGCTGAAGGCTTTGGAAAGGAGCTGTTCGAGTCAGATCTTGACAGGATAATGGAACATATTGAGATGGCCATGGAGATGGTGCCGGTCCTGAAGAAGGCCGACATCATCAACGTTGTGTCTGGGCCAATTACGTACACCCCTGACCTGCTGCCCATGGTTGGACCACACCAAGGAATTCACAACTACTGGACTGCCATTGGCTTTGGGTGTGTTGATGAGTCAGAGGTTGAGGGTTTGAAGGGTGTGGGCTGCAAAAATACCGCATCAGGTCAGACAGGTGGAGGTTGGGCAGCAGTTATGTTTTTGTTCATATCTCAATGTCTGCATCAGAAGTGTCTAACCTTGGTCCCATACCCAGCATGTTTTAGTTGTTTCCCTGCTCCAGCACATCTGATTTGAATGTGGAGGGGCTCTCAAGGGCCAGGGTTGGGGAGCACTGCTCTAAAACATGCTGTAGGGTTGGCCTCAAGGACCATGGTTGGACACCACTGGTCTAGAGTCTGGATTTAGGATCAGAGTTATGGTGATAATCAAAGTCTCTGTTCAGATATGGAGTAATTCATGCTGGTGGTATTGGTAAATTCCTGAGCGACTGGATGAGAAATGGAGAACCTCCCTATGACCTTATTGAATGCGACCCTAACCGCTATGGCAGGTGGACCGATGTGCCTTTTATGTGCGCCAAAGCCAGAGAGTCTTATGGCTTCAACAATGTGGGTAAGGATACCATTATGGTCTGTTTCCAGAGAGGCGTTATGGTATTTCTATCACTGAAACTCCTAACTTTGGTCTTCCCAGTTGGTTATCCCAAGGAGGAGCGTTTTGCTGGTCGACCGACTAGCAGAACAAGTGGTGTGTTCGAGCTGCTGAAGGACAAATGCTCCATGGGATTTCACGCTGGCTGGGAACAACCTCACTGGTTCTACAAACCCGGGGATGACACCGGATACAAGTATGGCCAGTCCTTAAATCTGTGGTTTGAACTACAAATAATAACAGACTGGTCTTGTATCTTTTTTCCTGGAAGACTTTTTGTTCACTGATCTGTATGAGACCTTGCATGATCGTCAGCATTTTATTGTTGTTTTCTAGGAGGAGATGGACAATAATTTAATATCGTGAAGGTTATTTTAATTTCAAGGCTCTTCAAATAAACTTTGTAGAAACAAACACTTAAACAAATCAAAAGATTTAAGGCAGACAATACACTTTAAAGAAGACAAACAGTAATTTAGCTTTTATGAACACAAAAGAGCAAATCACAGAACAGCTCAGCAGCCAGGTCACTGGGAAATGTCCCAGTCCTCCTGATGGCCAGTCCACCACTGCCTGCAGCTCACAATAAGCATTGGATTCTTCCTCCATTTTGTGCCTAATTGGCTGTTTGTGGTGGAAAATTCTCCTTCATTTGTCCGGAGAAGACAATAATGACCTGATGCAAACCGAGCTCTAATTTCTCAAACATACTAAATTTCACGAGCATGTTTGCACCAACGTATCATTAGCTCTATTTGCTTTATGAATTGTCGGACTCTCACGTCTGGGTGGGCACGGCCCAGCTCTGGTAGGTAATTGTGTTCACATCTTTCACATCTAGATAAAATGTGTGTTTTCTGGGCTCAGGCT